GCTGCTTTATGTGCTTACTAATTTCTGCTGTTAGTACTTCTGTTCTATTTTGTCGTTTGTACTTCCATTTGGTGTCTGTGGTTGTTAGTTCATCTATGAAACACGTCGGTGAACATAAAAAATCTGCGCTGATTTTCATCATGTGTTTTATTTTGCTTGACTTCCACAGTGAGTCAACAAGTACAATTTATTTTTAACTATATTACTTTCTTTTATAAAATATATAATTTAATACTTATTATACGGCTGGGCACAGCTGTAGTAGAGAGTGATATTTAAGCAGTTACAACGTCATCCGCGTTTTCTTATTTTACACTAGTTTATAACGTTCTATTTTTTTCAGCGACATGTGGTGGCACTGGTCTTAAGTACTAGCGTTTTTACCATATTTTTTCATTCCATTCCAACGAGATCCAAAGATTCCGTTGTTCTCTCTGAAACGTATGTAGGCGGAAGTTGATCTTTTAGTAACTTCAGTATCGGCGTTGATGCTATCAACGTAAATACCACAATTTGAAGCACCAATGCTACCTTGGCTATTGCTTTAAATTAACATTTGTTCCCTATTTTTAGTTAAGTACAGTCAGCATAACTTTCTTTCAAACTCAGAAGTACTTAGTAGTATCTTAGGCGGCGTGGTACTAAACGATTAGCAGGTTTCTTAAGTATTTTGCATTTTATTATCCCTTAACCGTACTAAAGATTTACGTATAAAAAGGAAAATACCTAAATGATCAGACGTTGCTTATCACCTTGATCATATATTGAGAATTTATCCTGTTTCTCTGAGGATGTGGTAGAGCATATATCTGATCTATTTCATGCAAGACGCCAGCAGAGGTTTGCGTAGAACTGTCATCTCTATCGTACTTTTCAGGCGTTGCTTGAAATGAAACCTACCGTTGAACCGAGTGATTTCGCTGGCGGAAGGAAGCTCGTCGACTTCGAACGTAAAGAAAGAGCTCGAAGTATCCGTATAGAGAAGAGAAAGGTGTCATATTAAACTATGTTACACGAAGCCATTCTGGTCTTATTCATTTTGTGTAGGAGAAGAAGAAGCGACAGGACGAGCGACGAAAAATCAGGGAGGCGCTAGGCGATAAAGCGCCGCCAAAGCTTCAGCCGAAAACTATCGAGAACACAAGAGAGCAAGATGTGACTATGGTGGATCCCGCTGATGAAGAAGTGATACAGGATGAAGCCCTCGACGAGATGTCAACTTATTTCAATCGTGTGACGAAGCCCAAAGTTTTAATTACCATATCACCAGGAGCCAAGCAGGTAATTGCCCCGTTTTCTGATTTTTATGCGATGTCTGTCTTCACAAAAATCTGTTTCATTTGTGAAATATCCCTGATGATGGTTGATGTGCCTGAAGCACAAACAACATAGATCGTATTAAATGGACAGTTATATATCACATGTATAGGCAGTGTATTGAGAAAGATGTATAATTTTTACATCAATAAATTGTATTAAAATGAAATTCGAAGATATTACATGAGTGCTGTATGCAGATGCTCGGCTCGTTGCGAGTCTTAAAACATTATTTCTGTTGTATTTACTGGAATTACTGGTATGCCCCTTTTGATGCGGCGTTTATCAAATATTACGAAGTCGATCTCGTTCTTCGTCGTCACGTTGGGCGCGATCTGTTGGTCTTCTTGAACCAGATGTTGCCACTGTGCATGTGTTGTGTTTCTGCCTTGGTCTCTAGCCGATCTCCTCGTTCATTTCACTCGTAGGTTCCGTACCTACCGCTAAATCTTTCATCAGCCCTTCTTCATCTGACTTTGCGTTGAACTCTCTCATCATGAGGGCATACATGGTCTCTGAGATCAATCCCTATTCCAGTTCTTGATAAAATTCATCCACTTCCCTTTCGTATGCTGTACTTGTGGGAGCATTGATTTGGGGCGATCTTCAAGGTCCTCTTCTTGTTGAGTTGGAGGCACAGTACTCGTAGTTTTGGTCACTTCGCATGTGGGAAGATGATATTGGAGGACCATCTTTTGCTGACTATAAAGCTGATTCTTCCTCTGTTCTTCACCTCCTCTCCTATTTCTATCCATGCCTAATTACCGTCTTTCCAGGTGCCATTTATCTCCTTCCGCCGTTGTGTTCCGCAGAGGCAAAGGATGTCTTTGGCCATTCCTGATCTTTCCTGAGTTAGCTGGTTTGACGTTTCATCCATCGCTAGTGTTCTGCAGTTGTAGGTGCAAGCGGCGAGGTAAGTCCAGGTTCGCTTTTTCTTAGATGGCATTTTT